AGGGGTGGCAGAGTCCCGTGTGCAACCGACGAGCCAGACCCGGGCCACTGAGGGACCCGTGAACTAGCTCCGCCCCACTAGTGTAACTACAAGTCGTGGCAGGAGAGAGCGGGGTTGGCGGCGCGTGAGAACGAACAACCACGGTAACACCCGAGTCCGGAAAGGGGAGTAGCCAACAACTCGGAGATCAGGACTCCCAGTAGTGACTCACGAAGGCCCATTGGGGACAAAGCTCAATGCAAGGTATTATGTTTGCTCATGGTTAAGTTTATAGCTTTATAATTTTTCTTACTCCAACCTTCTTTCTGACAAAAGAGAGGGGAGAAACACCACATTCTCTTTTCCTATGATAATAGGAAATTTTTAAGATATCAGAGTAAAAACCAAGAAGGTTGCCTAAATAATCTGTAAACTAGTCTTGTGGTTGAACTTTTTGATTTACTGAATTTTTTAGGTCTGCATACAGTGTAATGTTTATCTACTATGAGTCTCAGTTTGCTAAGAACAGTTTACAAGCTTTTCCCAATCCATTGTTTGTATTTCAGATACTCTAATTTATTCTCCCACCCCCTTCCTCTAGATGATTTAAGGATTTTTTTCTTAATACTTCAAAGATGTACTGACACACGTATTTGGAAGTCTTATTTTCATTATAATTTTTCAGTTACTGAAGTAATATTTAATTTGTTAAGTACTTTAAAACAGATTAAATAATGTTTAGACTGCAGTACACAGTTCATAGAATTACAGAATCAAAGGACCAAAAGGGACTTGTAAGATCATCAAGTCTGGTCTCCTGCCATGCGTATTGGGCTCAAACGAGCTCAACAAGGTACTTGTCCAGCCCACTCTTGAACACCTCCCAGGATGGCTACTGCAGAATCTGGGAGCATGTTCCAGTTTCTAGTTAGTTTTGTGGAAAATAAGTTTTTCCTTATGAGCAGACTAAATTTTTACTCCATTAGCTTGTGCCCGTTGGTCCTTATCCTCCCAAGTGCTGCCTTCCTGAAGAGTTGCTCCACTAGATCCCTGACATACTTGTAGGCAGTTATCAAGTTACCTCTGTCTTCTCTTACTCAGACTGAACAGACACAATTCCCAGAGTCTCTCCTCACACAGCCTATCCTCCAGGCCCCTAATCATATGGGTGGCTCTTCTCTGTACCCTCACAAGCTTATCCACAACCTTCCTGAAGTGTGGTGCCCAGAACTGGCCACAGTACTCCAGTGGTGGCCTCACCAGTGTCAAATAGAGGGGAAGGAGAACCTCTCTGGATCTGTTGGCAACACAGTCTGATGCACACCAGAGTTCTATTTGCCCTGCCAGCAACTTCATCGCACTGTTGGCTCATATTCATTTTCTGGTCGAATGTCACTCCTGGTCCCTTTCAGATGTAGTGCCAGCCAGTGGACCAAGTTCAAGTAAATATACCGATTTCATGAACAAGAGAATGAATTTCATCCTCTTTCAGCGCAAGGTAGCAAAGGCAAGCAGTCAGGTGGTGGCCCTAGATTTTAGGAGGGCGAACTTCAACGAGCTAAGGAGGATAGTTGGAGAAGCGCTGAAGACTCAGAGGGGA